TTATTTGTAGTTGTGATGTTCTACCTTTAAAGTTGTAGATATTTTGTAGTTATATTGTTAGGTAACTTGTACTATTTGAAGCAGAATTGTAGTTATCTTTTGTTGCTGCCTTTTTGTAGAAAATGCTTTAAATTGTAGATATTATATAATCATTTGTAGTTATGTTGTAGATAAAATTTAGATGAATGTATCCTTTTTATGCATTTTATTAATGTGAAATAATTTGTTATTTGTGCAGAATGGATACTTTTTTGCCCCACTTAATGTTGATTATGGGGTACTTAGATTTCACACTTTGTGTGATCCTAGCATTCCTAGCCAGATTAAAGAGCTTCTATCCTCAAATAGGTTGAAGCTTTTCAAAAAGACGTGTTTTGGATACTTACTGTCTCTTCCCACCATATGCATGCAAAACCAAGTCATTCATCTTCTGATGAAGTATCAATTGACCAAATCCAATGCATCATATTTTTCTGTACAGTTAAAGGGTTAAATTTTGGATTGAGTGAGTTTGCATTAATCACTGGTCTAAGATGTGTTACCCAGGTTACTGATTTTGGTTATACTCCCACTTATGTTAGCAAAATAATGAGCAGTTATTTTCCTAACAAATTAAGAGAGGAGAAGTTTTATTTGAAACAGATAGTAACCACTAGATCCTGGGTAAACGATGAGAATGCGGTGAAGTTGTACATCCTTTATATTTTAGAATTTTTCATTTGTCCTTCGGACAAAGATCATGTTTCTTTTGTAGATCACTTTAGGTTATATTTGGTAGAATCTGGGCAGTATGAGTCATACCCATGGGGTATTAAATCTTTCACCCAGATGATGGAATCTGTTAGGCACAGACTAAATTCGTATGTACATTCTTATCTCATACGGGGATGCTCACTAGCATTGCAAGTATGGCTTTATGATTGTTGCTCTACTGTCAGCACTGATATAGCTACGAGGTGTTCTAACTCAATACCTCGCATACTAAGATGGTCAGCTAGTAAGGGGCAGATTTGGTTAGCTGCCTTTGAAGAGAAGATGATAAAGCCTGAGTGGATAAAGGTAATTTTTTTTTTATGATTATACATTTACCTTCAAAATATCTACAATTATTCTACATATTATGTCTTGATCAAACTAATTTATTTTTCCTCATTCAGTTTACCAACATAGGTGAATCTGGAGAAGAGATTGCAGTGCTGATTTTGCCCGATAAAATTGGGTAAAAAGTTCAAGAAGGTGAACAAATATCTGAGGTTCCCAATGCTGAACCTCCTACGTTGGAACCCAAACAAACTGATGGAGAAGAGGACAAGGAGTCTATTGATAAGAAGATCAGAAAATTAGAAAAAGAAATTGAGCAGGTAATACATATAAACTACAATATATCTACAAAATATCTATAATATATCTACATTTCATAAACTGACTACAAAATTTCTACAAATTTGTAAATTTTGATATATATCTATATATAATTGCATATCTACAATATATCTACATTTCATAAACTGACTACAAAAAATCTACAAATTTGTAAATTCTGATATATATATCTATATATAATTGCATATGTTTATGAATTTAACAACTTACTATATTGTAACTTGTAGGTTGATGGAAAGCTTGAAGATTTTAGGAAAGCTGTCTTTGTAGAACTCGATAGCCTTCGAGGGTTTATAAATGAGTCTTTTCAGACTATTTTGCAAATGATAAACAGTAGAAATGTGCAAGATGATGCAAAGGTAAGATCTGACTTTTATTTTTATAGCAAAACAATTTAGACATATGAAAAAATATATACAAACTAACATAAAACATTCAGTTTGTTGGTAGTTCAACAAAAAATAATGACCAACAAAAAGACTTGAACAATCAGCATTTTCAGTTCAATATTGGGGAACAAGTGCAGGCCAGCACCAGCAAAACAGGTATCTACAAAATTCCTACAAAGTATCTACAATTTGTGTCATTGTATACAACATATTTACACTTATCCACAAATTATCTACAATTTTGATACACATATTCTACAACTTTCAAGCCACCATTATCCAGTTTTATTTACCATTTTTAATTATAAAACAGAGCATGTTGAAGGTGCAGTTGGTCAAGAAAATCTTCCAGCACATGGTGATTTATATACACATTTTCAAGTTGCAGCTGATGAAGACAAAGCAAGTATCATACTGTCATTCAGAGATATTTTCTTGTTGTTTATGAATTTTAAAATTCTTGTTAAGTAAGATATGAATTGTGTTACAGTGATGGAAGATATCAATGCACAGTCCCCAATTCACGGAGTGACATTAGCAGCTCAGATAGAACAGGTCATTGAAGAACATGACAATGAAGGTGCAGATGCACAGTATATGGATCTAGGTGATTCAGAAGGATCAGGAGTTGAGAAGAAGGGGGTCATACTAGATGATTTTGAGTTGCCTGGCAACTTATCCCAGTTGGTTAAGTTTGGCGAGCTCATACAAGATGATGCAACACCTATACATCCAGGGAGAACAAGGCATCCGAAAAAGCATGCCCGATCACCATTTATCCCTCTATATAGTTCTGGGGGTAGCAGCTCGGTTGGACCTAAATTTTCTACCTCAAGCACCCTTTTACTACTGTTATTGGTGAAGATGTAGATCTGGAGGTTTTAGATAACTTCAACAAGTGGTTATACCACTGTAGCGACAAAGGCTCAAAGAGGTGTGAATTCATAATTTGACGCTTGCATTTCAGCATTTATCTTTTACATATCTAATTCAATCTACAATTTTTTTGACATTTATTTATTGTTACAGGAGGAAAGCTCCGTTTTCCATAAAGGATAACCAAATTAAGCCTTGGTTAGACCTTGGAGTGGAAAAGGTTGATAAGAAGGAATGGTTCTTTTCCCTGGCTCACCCCGGATAAGTCCTCAATGACTCGGTAAGTATCAAAGAGACTATTCCCAAGATATAATTTGTAGATATTTTGTATTCTATTTTGTAGCTTAATTGTAGTTATGTTATAGATATCTATAATATATGAAGATGACTTGTAGTATAAATTGTAGATATTATGTAGATATGATTGTAAATGATGTCTTTCTTGTATCTAGTGTAATTGTATTTAGGTTTCAGATTATGTATCATATTTGAAGATTATTTATAGTATAAATTCTATATATATTTTGTGGACAGAATAGTTCGTTGCTGTATTTCCTGTTTGTAATGTAATTGTAGTTATTTTGTAGTTTATGTAGAACATTACAAGATTAATTGTAGTATAAAATTTAGATATAATGTAGACATGATGGTAGATGTCGTGTTACATGTTTGCCCAGTAACTGTAGATAAATTGTAGTTATTTTTAGATTATTTGAAGTTGACTTTGTAGTTTAAATTTTAGAGTTGTTTTTAGACATCATTGTAGATTTTTTGTTTCTGTTTTGTAGTAAATTGTAGTTATAATATAGTTTTATGTAGATTATTTGAAGTTGACTTGCTGTTTATATGCCAACTATTTTTGGTTGCAGCACATTGATGTTCTAATGTATTACTTAAGGAAAATAGGCAAGTATGGTCCCAATAACAAGACCAGGTTTACCACAACAGATTGTTTGTTCAAGACCAGGATAGAACAAATTTATGAAAAGTTCATAAATTCAGCTCCACAAAAGAAGTATTTGGTTGTTAAACCCCAAGATGTTGTTGCAAAATATATTTTGGGGTATAGACTACTTGCAATGTTGCATGGGATAAAGCTGACTATATCATCATACCCGTCAATATTGTACAAAAATTCCATTGGGTGTTGGTCGTTTTCTACATTGCAGACATGCAACTTTATGTGTATGATTCCATGGTCTCTTCATGCAACTATCAAGTTGATGAATCCTGTGTCGAATAGTTCTCTCTTATTATCCCTTTGTATTTGTCATGCACTAGTTTCTATGGGAAGCGTAAAGGCATTAACTTCAAGAATACAAAGGCATACATCGAGAAACCTGTTACCGACCCTCTTAACATTCAGTGGATCGTTGGAGATATTCCACAGCAAAAAGAAGGGTCACTGTAAAAAATCTATTCTCTCTTTCTATGCATTTAATTCTTTTTTTATTTCTAATCATTTGGTAAATATTTAAAAAAAATTGTGTTCTGCAGCGATTATGGTGTATTTGTTGCTGCCCTTGCGGAGTATGTTAGCCTTGGAGATTTGTCAATTCCCGCAGAAGACCATTCTGATATTGACCAACATCGTAGACGTTATGGAGCGCTCCTATGGGACTATGCTACAAAGAAGCAAGAAGATGGGTCAATCAGTGAAAGTGAAGTTACAAACACACTAGCAAGGAGGAAGGGTGCACCTACATTGAATGAGAAAACAAGAGTCCAGAGAAAGAAGAAGTAATGTCATGTATATGTAATTTAGTTGATGCTAGTTTGTATGAAAAGTATAGTACACAACTTTCTGAACAATTTATTTATGTTTTTATTATAGCAGACCTTTTGTTTTGTTAATTTCTATCCAGTGTAGTAGTTCACTTGAAAATAACTTGATGATTTTATCTCCAGTTGTTTAATATTTACAGCACTTGTTCTTTATTATCTTAAACGTAGTTATTATGTTGTTAGAATATAATTTATCTACAAAAAAACTTCAAATTATCTACAATCTGGAAACACTGAATGTTGAGATTGTATATAATTTTATAGTTGAATATGTATATAATTTGTAGGGAATACCTCCAGTTGTATTTAATTTCTGTATATAACTGTCAGTTCAAGTTAAATTAATTTTTTAACTTGTAGTTATATTGTAGATAATAAATATTAACTGCTATGAGCAGAATGTCAAATATGGAGGTAGATGCTTGACACAATACAGAAAAACATGTTAACAAACACAGAAACAAATTGAAATTAAGATCTTTAAAAACTTAAACGACTACACACAAAATTCTGTTAACTTGAACACACTAACAATTATTTTAAAATACTATTCTAACTACATGATATTTATTTCTTTTTGGGCGCATTCTTGCAAGATCTTTTATTATGCCCTTCACCTCCACAGTTGCCACATGACACCTTGTACTTCTTTGACTTTAGTTCATCATATGTTTTGTATCTTTCCTTTTGACGTCTTCCTGGCTGCCTTTTCTCTCCCATAGGTGGATTTACTACTTCATCACATATATGTTGTGGCACATTCCATTTGCTTTCATCAGCAAGGAGATTTACTATTATTTCATACGTACGCAGTAGGCTCTCCTTTGTGTAATACGGAGAGCAATAGTTTTCATAAGTTTCATTCCTATGCCTTAAAGCTGTCAAAGCATGCGCACATAGAAGTTCATCAAGTTGGAACTGGCCACATCTACATTTCTTGCTTTCAAGACACACAATGTACCGCTTCACACCATCTATCACAGTATGGATATGATCTATTGAAGCGCTCACCTACAATTACATAACAAATAGAAAGAAAAATATGTACAATCATAAAAATATATTATCTACAATTTATCAACAACTTATCTACAAATTATCTACAATCTACAAATTAACTACAATTTATCTACAATACTGAAACACTATATATTAAAATATTATTTTTCTGCACCAAATAAACAGATCTTACCCTAAGTTTCTGAGATAATGTTCTGTTGTTCTCCAATTCTTTGTTGAATTTGAACCCAAGGAATGTGAAAGTATCATTTGCCTTCAATAACTTCTCATTCGTCCAACGTTCAAGAAGTGTCCTCATATACTCTAATAGGTCAAATATTGACAGCTCTCTTGCATTTTTTGTTATAGCATTCAACGACTCTGCAATGTTTGATGTCATAGTCCAAGTTCTATTCACCGTTGCATGTACTCTTGACCACCTATTATAGCCAATATCATAGAGATATGATTTAACACGCGGGTCTATCTCTTCAATCTTCGACATCCTTTCATTAAACTCATCCAGAGTATATGATCGTGCTGTAGCAAAGTACAATTCATTTAATTGTAGATGACCCTTCTTGAACTTTGCCCTTATATTTGTCCAAATATGCCACATGCAAGAGTAGTGTGGCACGCCCGGATAGACAATTGATGTTGCCTTCAGGATACTCTCATTCCTATCTGAAACAACACACATTGAAGTTCTTTCACCATATGCTTGCTTGAATTTCTCAAAAAACCACTTCCACGATGCGTCGTTTTCCGAATCAACCACAGCATATGCCAAAGGCAATATTGTACCTACATTATTAGTCAAAAAATAATTAACTGGCAGCTTTAAAAATGCATATAAAAACACAAATACATAAAAACAACAATATATCTACAAAGTATCTACAATTTATAAACTGCCTACAAAATAACTAAAAATAACTACAATTTTACCTGTTGCATTCATTGTGCTTGCTGTCAGCATAATCCCCCTGTAGGTTGACTTTAAGAATGTCCCATCAACCACTACTACTGGTCTACAATATTCCCAACCACTTATTAATGTACAAAGAGCAACAAACGCATATAAGAAGCATTCATCTGTTGTCTTCTTCAATTTAACAACTGAACCAGGATACGTCTTCTCAAGAATATAAAAATATTTTGGTAATTTGCTATAGGAGTCAGCCGGATGACCTCTCAAAAAGTGTAAAGCCTTTTCCTTTGCTCTCCATGCTTGCATGTAGCTTAGGTTCACTCCGTGTTGGGACAACATGTCAGTTTGTATGTCCTTTGGTGTGTAAACTGTCTTAGGATCACAATACTTTGGAATGATCATGCTACCAACTACAACTGCAGTACGTTTGTGCTGTATGAATGTATTGTCCATTAAGGTGCATGTATGTTGTCGGTTGAAACTCCTGACCTTGAACATTGCAGAATCATTAATTGATGTTGCCTTGAAGTGCCAATTACAGTTTTCTCCAACGCATATAAGCCAGTAGCTACAAAAAATACATTTATAATATAGGTTATCAATGTAGATGTAACAAAAGGATTGTTTTAACATAAAGTAATACACTATACAATATAACTACTTTTCATCTACAATGTTTGAAAAACATTTATCACAAGGAAAATATTGTTTATAATGATCTTTTCACCATTAATATATTCAAACCTTCTGTGGCTAGATCTTTTAACCCTGAATTGGTACTTGTGCATGACAGAATAGTGCTTCATTGTAGTTGCAATTGTTTGCTTGTCTTGATACACTTGTCCTTCTTCGATAACACTTTATGTACCTTCAGTTATTATTTCACTTTGATATTCCTCTATGACGGGAGAGGCTGGCATATCAAGTAACTTTATTGTCCCGGACGAACTTGCATGAAAATAAAGATAAACAGTCATTACAATTTTTTAGAATCTTTGTAGATAAATTGTAGATGAGAGAAAATTTTGTAGTCAACATTTTTTTCCACATAGATTGTAGTTTAATTGTAGTATAAATGTAGTAATTATGTAGATACCCTTATAAATAATACTGCTTTATACATATTTAAATTGATTTGTAGTATATTTGTAGAATTTTTGTAGAAAATTTGTAGATGAAGAGAAAAATTTTGTAGTCAACATTTTAGAAACATAGATTGTAGTTTAATTGTAGTATAAATGTAGTAATTTTCTAGATAATCATGAAAACAATATTGCTTTATACATCCTAAAACTGATGTGTAGTTTATTTGTAGATAAATGTAGGTATTTTATACATATTACCGTAAAATCAGACTTACATAGAATTTGAAACCTAAAAAATCTGCACTTGTGTTCTCATTGGCAATAGTCAATTCCATATTGAAATCTCGTACGCTTATACATAACGGATACGATCATAAGTTTTTATTCTCCTTTTTTGTCTCCATATACACACGAACCCCCATATCGTTCCTAATCTCCATTGGAGGACAATTCTCATTCACAATGTATTTTATTTCTACAATTATTTCCGAAATATCAATCATTACTGTAACTTGCATCCTCATCGAGCACAATGCCATCAACTTGAAAATCTCTAAATCTGCCATAGCTATCCCAATTCCCATTTAATTGTAGCATGATTGGGATTTTGGACATGATTGCGTGTCGTTGTTGAGGTATTGTTCAATATTTTGTTGTTTTTTTTGATTTATTGGATTAAGAAAAAAAGACGAAGAACAGAGTATCGGCAGAATTGAATTCTACAATTTGACTTGAATTTGTTGAATATTTTGTCGCTTTTTTGATCAGTGGATTGAGAAAAAAAGTCGACGAACTGAGCTTTTGCATAACTGATTTCTACAATTTGATTCGAATTTGTTGACGATTTTGTCTTTTTTTGATTTGTGGTTTAAGAAAAAATATCGAAGAATAGAGTTTTTGAAGAAAAGAGTCTATGTAATTTGATTTTAAATTGAAGATAAAGGATTTCCGTTTCAAATTTGATCTGAAGGTCTAAATCAATTAGAATATTCTATTCCTGATTTGTAGCGCGCCTAATTAGGAAGATTCAGCTACTAATAATTAGTATTTAATAAATGGCATAATAATTGTAGAAAAAGTGTGAACATGGCAGGTAAATTAGAAACTATGCACATATTTGGTAATAAAATTTCATATATGGTATATGAAGGAAAAAATCTCATGAAGAATTAAGAGAAAATGGCATGGTATAACAACCTGTGAAGAGAATTGGTATACAAAAATCCTATTTTTGGATATTGGCACCCTACAACCCAACATTAATTTTTCATATTTAATTTGTATTTAGCAATATTTTTATGCAAAATCAAAAGAAACGTATAGCACTCTCCCATCTCTCCCTCTTTAATGCTCTTGTTCTCTTTCTTCCCCTATTGTCACTCCACATTTTCCAATTCTCCCAAATCTCTCTCTTCTTCTCTGATAATTAGTTTGTTGGGTTTCCTCTTAATCTTTTTTTGGGTAATTTTCTACATCTAGAATCTTTTGTAGAATTTCCCATAGCATATCAGCATTCTTTTCAACTTAAAAGATGGGTAAAAATTTAACCTTTAAGAAATTAAAATCTAAAGCTACAGTGGTCAAATATTCATCTTTTCATATAGATGATGATTCTGATTTCGAAGTTTCGATGTTAAGGGGATCGAATTTACCACATGCAATAGATGTTCGACATGACAATTAGGTTTCTTTTCCTTCAATAGTATCGAAAAATCTTTCTAGTTTTTCTAAATTATTTTTTTAGTTTCTTTATATCTGTATTTAAATATATATAGTAATAATTATATTATTTGTATATCATAATGTATAACATAATAATAATGTGTATATCAAAAAGTATACCAAAATTTTATTTTCTTTCTTTGTATAATATATGTCAGATTGAAAACTCAAGTTTTTAGATGACTTCATATGTTTATCCTCCATTGCATCCCATGTATGTCTTCATATAAATCAGTGATATCTCATGTATATCATGTTTATAAGCATATCCATGAAAATTTGTCATATACNTTGCCGCTATTTTTATTTTCTTTTGGAGCAATTGTCCGTGAAGCAAAAATCACGTGCTTACATACACGATATACAATGTAGTATATACATACCGTATTTGTTTATATCCATAAAAATTTATGTATATACATGAAAATTTGTGTTATGTACATGATATATAATGTGATATACACAATCATCTACAAAATATTTGTGTTATATATACGATATACAAAGTGATATACACAGACGTCCATAAAAATTTGTATATGATATACACTGATGTAAACGATATACAACGTGATATACATATGTCGCAGTTGAATTTTCAGGTCTGTTTTTTTTTTTGCCTCAACCCAGTCTAAATCACTTCTAATCTTGCTCAAAGTTTGTATATAGCCACGTCTAGGTGTTTTCAACCAATTTCAATCACACCCACTAGTTCAATCCAACCAAAAGAGAGAGAGAGAGAGAGAGAGAGAGAGAGAGAGAGAGAGAGAGAAGAAAAACAAAGTCGAACTCTATTTTTTCCTATTTTTTCTCTTAGTGTTTGCTTCTGATTTTCTCTGATGTGAGATCAACCTTACCTTTTTATCCCATTGATTTTTTTTGCACAATTTGCAATAATTTTTGCTAAACCATGAGAGTGAAAGAGGAGAGATAGAAGAAGAAATATAAGAAGAGTAAAGGAGAGGGACAAGAAAAAAAATAAGTAGGTTATAGGGGGAAATAAAGAGAAAATAAATAGGAAGTAGGTTTTTCAAAATTTGGCTATAGAATGCCAAAATTTTTGGCTTCTGCTGCCAAACTAAATTTAAGGTTGTTTACCCTAAAAATAGATAACAATTGAATTTATACGTGATTTTAAGGCCACCTGATCTTACTTGGCACAAACTGAGAAAATATGCAAATTGATATTGAAATTAACTGCCAATAGAGATAAAAACAAACCAAAACAAACATATATCTTTAGCCCTCGAGCTAGTTCGCCCTCGAACCGACGAATATTATACTGAAAACTGTGAACTGAGCAGCAGAGTATTGAGAACTTAAGAAGAAGATAGTATATTGCTTCATATAGCGTGAATATGGTGTCTGTTACAAATGATCAGACCCTTTTTATATAGTAGGGGAATCCTATCTTTAATACAATTCTAATTACAGTAATAAATCCTATGATTATCTAATTAATCGGCCTCTTCTTGATAGGTGCCGAGATTTCTGTCGTGATCTTTGCCCGATTGCGGATATTTTGGTCTTTCATTATTTGGCTCGGTAAGCTTCTCTCGATCTTGCTCGATCTCTATCCTACCTAGCTTCAATCTTGGCCGACCTCGATCTCGATCGGTCTCTAGGTCTCGAACTCGACAATCTAACTTTACATCGTGGTCCGATATAACATAGGGTCGAACCTTGGCCTGCCTCGTTTTAGGACAAGCCCGATTTTTGACGTATACTGATAGTCCCCTCATTTCTCGAAGAGAAAGTGATGAGAAACGATATGTTCTTTTCCAATCCCATCTCTATAGGTCATGACATAAGCGACGAACCCGACCATGACGTCAGCGACAAGTGGATACTAAAACATCCCGTCAGTTCAGGTATCAATGCATTAAAGGCTTGTCAGTTGTTGTCGGCCACTACCGGTTCTGAATTGTCATCTTCAACCTATAAGTATATCTTTCTTCTTTTGCCCAAACTTTATTTTCAAATCTTCTTCAATCTTATCTTTTAATCCTCCGCTTTCCTCAGAGCTTTGCTTTTTCAGACCTTGGTTTTCTTTGCTTTGTTCTATCCCAAAATACCAAGCATTCCTTTTCAAATTATATTCTCCTTCATCCACAACAATTAAATGGCTAAAACTTTAAAAATTGTTCCACAAAAGGAGACTACTTCATCTTCACGGTCGGCCGGTGAAGAACCGGAGGCGGAGCCACGCCCTAAAGAGTTTTTTCACGGAGGGTGTGTCATCGATTCTGATTTCAAGGTTGAAAAGTCTTCCTCGGTGCAGGCCGATGCGAGCCGGTATCGAAGTATATATATGCTTGATAACCGATAAACTCCTCTCCCAGGTTAAAAAAGATTGCAACTGAGGTAAGAAACATGTAGTGGTGCCTGCTCCAGAAGAATCAATCACCACCCATGTGGAAGGGTTCTTAAGTGTTTACACTTACCCCTTTACGTTGGGTTCCTTGGATTCGATTATCATAGATATCTGCAAGAAATACGAGGTGACGTTCGATCAGATTCATCCCTCTTTCTTGAGGATATTGATACTACTTCGTTTCTTCATAAGACAAGTCGATGGACTTCCCTTCACCCTCGACCACTTCATACGCCTATATAGCCCCCGACTCTATCGAGGAGGACTAATAA